TTATCAAAAACAGAGCAATTACAGATGCTGCACTCGATATTATCTCCACAATGCGTGCTCAAGAAGACACCTCAAAACAACACAGGTTACTTTTTCTTGACTAACAAAAAGCCTTCAATCGAGTCAATCATAACTTTCTGGAGCTTACTCTCAACAAGATGAACTTCGATACCAAGTTCATTAAACTGATTCACAATCTATTTGCCGGCCAAGAAGCACATATAATTGAGGCAGAGAATATCCCCAAATCTCTCAGAGTAGAAAGAAGAGTATGACAAGAGGACCCTCTTTCTCCCCTTCTATATATACTTGCCTTTGAGCCACTTATTAGAAGCCTGAATGAATGGCTATAGAGAATTTGCCTAGGAAACCAATTTTTCAAAGTTTCTGCCTATGCGGATGATTTAACCATAGATATTGGCTCATGTATGGACTGGAACGAGGTACTGGCTTTAGTTAATCTATACGAGTCAGCCTCTAATGCTAAGATAAACAAAATGAAATCCAAACTCGTTCCGCTTAATCCTGTAGCTAAAGAGTTGTCCTTTCTAATGAAGATCAGTTCACTAAGGTAGAGAAACAAGATACTCTTACAATCCTGGGCTATAACGTCCCGACAAATAGCCAAACTGAGAAAAGCCTATGGCTTACTACAATACAAAAACTAAAAAAAGCTATTGACAAACTGAAAGGCAGAAACCTCTTCTTTAAAGGAAAAATTGTAATTGCAAACACCCTTATTTTATCTAAAATCTGGTACACGGCTTACCTCCTTCCCTTCAAAAGAAAACAAGTAACCAAAATAAATAGAATCATATCTCTTTGGATTAAAGGTATTTCACGGATGCTCCCCAAGTACTCCACATTTCAACAGTTCGCTGAATATACAGGCCTGCAGGTACCAATTATTAAAGATATGCTTGATGCTCGATTAATCTCTGTATAGCTAAAACTTCTGACCTCAAGCTCGCTATGGGCTATATATGAAAGAACAAAAATCAGTTTAACTCTTAGACACAAGAGAAATATCTCTTCCCTACAAGCACTAAGCTTGGACAAACCCCATACTAAAGCCTGGCCTTCGGAATAGAAGCCCTATCTTTTGGCCTGGCATAGGATTAAAGGGAAAATCTCTTCTACCACAAATTGGCCTTGAAAGTTAGAAGAAATTAAAATAGCAGAGACTCAAGGATCTGATATAACAATAAAGAAAGTTTTAAAACTTTTGAAAAAAACATCTACACCCCCTATCTCTTTTCGAATCTCTCCTCAAGTACCCCTACCTCTTTGGCTTTCACTTAAACCTGTAAATAATAAAAAAAGAGACATATTCTGGTGCCTATTCCACAAAGCTTTACCTCTAGGTTATCGGCTCAAACATATAGGCTCTTCTAAGTCAGGCAACTATATTTGGTACCCAAATGATCTTTAAACACCTAAGCACTTTGCAATTGAATGCCAGGTTAGCTTCTTGATCTGAAAAGAGACTTATAGCTTTTTGAATATTACTAGCGAAAAAACCCTATCAATCTTGGAAGAAGTTTTCCAAATTCTGGATATACCACACTCTCAAGTCTCTCTAGCCAAAATCTGGCTCTATATTAACTCAATATATGAGATCTGATGTCGATATGCTGCAGCAAAATAGGAAGAGGTAAATATACCTTCAGCCTCTTTTACCTCTATTACTAGAAACCATATTTCAAAAGAAATACATGCTTTAAAATACAATGCATCAAACAACCTTTCTAAAACTTCTAAAATAATATATAAATACATAAATTGTATATAGACTATTTATTATATTTCTAATAAAAGAGCACAACCTGTACTCCTGGCCTCTTGACTTTAGGGTTAATTCAAAAAAAAAAAAAAATTAAAATTAATATATATATAAGTATATAAGAGTAAAAACCTGAAATTGTATATACAATATATATATGTATAATGATTTACTATAATAAGTTTCAGGTTTTCACTCTCAAGCACTCATATAGTATATATATAATTAGGGTTAGAGTTAGTATAATTAGTGTTAAAGTTAATATTAGGGTTAAAGTTTAGAGTTAGGATTAAAATTAAATAAAATTATAAGAGAATCATTTTTTGTTAGTTACACAACAGAGTTACCCTAGTAAAATTTTAAAATATAGTAAGGTACAATATATTGCAGATGCAATAAAAAATAAAACCAATAAATTAAAATTCAATTGTATTTACAATATACAATTTAACCAAATTTCTAAAAAAAAATGAAAAAAATAAAGTTTTTTTATTTATTACAAAGTTTAAAAATTTGTAAAATTAAAAAAATAAAATTTGATATTTAAAATTTTAAAAAATTTATTATATATATATATATATATATACTGTAAATTACTAAACTATATAATTTATATATTATAAACTTTAGGTTTCAAATTAAAATCTGAATTTTAGATTTCAACCCAAATTTCAAAGTTCTAATCTAATTTACCATCCCTATCTAGTAAAAACGAACTTTAGATCCACCAATCACATTTTACTATATAAGAAGGCCATCATATGACGGAACATGCATCCCGAGGCAAAAGGTTGAAGCTTTTAAGCAAAAAGACGGTTTTCCGCAGGCTACTTCTATCTTCGTGCATAGCTGTACGTCTTAATCTTTTGACGAACAAAATAAAGGCCTTCTCGTACTAACCCCGTAGGAAATTCAGTTATACAAAATTTTGTGGTGTTATTAAACTTTGATAGGCAAGACGTCGTCCCCAAAGCATAAAAAACGTAAGATTGAAACCATGTCGGTCCAGTCTGACGACGATCTCATGTATGAGGAATCTTGTCCAGACTCGGGTAAGCTAACTTACCTAATGAAATATTAGTGGTAGTATTTGAACATCCGTTTCTGATCTTGAAACGTTTGTACAGTCTACCTTGTTACGCATTAAATCAGTCTTATACACGAGGTCCAATTAATGGTTATTTTTTTTTTAATCTTATAATTTTAACCTTCCCAAAATAAAGACGAGGACTATGAATTAGAAGACTTTGACAACGATGAGGAAGTCATTGCTGACGAAGACGACGCCGATTTCAATTTTACGGACGTGGTTGCAGAAAAAGATCGTAAAAAAAGTTACGAAGTGGAATTCAAAGTTCATTCTATTCAAGATATTGTCAAGAACCAAGATGAAGAGGTTACTCATGTGTCTAATATGCTTCTCATCCAAAAGCAACATGCAGCGACGTTACTTCGTCATTTTTGTTGGAATAAAGAAAGACTCATCGAGAGATATATGGATGCTACAGAAGAAGTCTTGAAAACAGCTGGAGTCATAATTAATGATTCTATGCGTCCAAAATTCGTAAAAGTGCCAGGATTTATGTGTGATATTTGCTGCGATGATGACAAAGATATAGAAACCTTGGCTCTATCGTGTGGACATCGGTTTTGTCAAACTTGTTACAAACATTATTTGACACAAAAGATCAAGGAGGAAGGTGAAAGTCGTAGGATATCGTGTATGGCCAACGGATGTAATGTTATTGTGGACGAAAATACAGTTGAATTAGTAGTTGACACGGATATACATGAAAGGTGAAAATATAATTAATTATATTTTTAACCACTATTATTTTGTCATAAATATTCATTCAAATAAAATTTTAGGTATCGTACGCTACTAAATCGAACATACGTAGATGATAATGAGTCTTTAAGATGGTGTCCCGCCCCTAGCTGTGAATATGCAGTCGAATGCCATGTACCACAAGCTTCTCTTACTAGTATTGTCCCAACAGTTGAATGTTTATGTAGTCACCGGTTCTGCTTTGGTTGCAGTTTACCTGATCATCAACCATCGATTTGTACGCTTGTTAAAAGATGGATCAAAAAATGTGAGGATGATTCAGAAACGGCTAATTGGATTTCTGCACATACAAAAGAATGTGGAAAATGTCATTCTACCATTGAAAAAAATGGTGGATGTAATCATATGACCTGTCGCAAATGTAAGTACGAATTTTGCTGGGTCTGCATGGGACCTTGGTCAGAACATGGCACCAGCTGGTATAATTGTAATCGTTATGATGAAAGGAGTAGTCAGGATGCTAGAGACCAGCAAGCAAAATCTCGTGCATCTTTGGAACGATATCTTCACGTATGTTACCATCAATTAAAATAAATAATGAATGATTTACAAATTTTTTATTATAATTATGCTTAATTGCCAATAATCGATTTTATTAGTATTATAATAGATTTGCCAATCATGAACAATCCGCAAAGCTTGATCGTGAACTTTATAATAAGACCGAAAAGAAAATGGAAGAAATGCAACAAACATCTAATTTATCTTGGATTGAAGTTCAATTCCTTAAGAAAGCAGTTGATATTCTTGTGCAATGTCGTATGACACTTAAATGGACATACGCATTTGCATTTTATCTCAGTCGTAACAATCAAACAGAAATATTTGAGGACAATCAACGTGACCTTGAAATGGCCGTTGAACAACTTTCAGAATTATTGGAAAAACCCATTGAACCTGAGAAAATTGGTGAATTGAAAGAACAAGTCTTGAATAAAACGGTATATGTTTCGGATCGTAGAGAGGTTTTATTAGTTGATACCGCCAAAGGATTGCTTGAAGAACGGTGGGAATACCAGGTAGATATCACAAGCTAAATAAACCTAGTAGTCCTATATGTAGGGTTGGTAAAGTCTTTAGGTCCGGGACTTTAGGACCTGGTCTTTAAACCTGGTCTTTAAAGACCAAGTCCAAATTTAAGGACCTAGGGTCATTAGGTCTTTAAAAAGTCCTTATATACAAATTTTATAATTGCATAACTCTGGACAGCCTAATCAATATATATACAATAAAGTTTTAAATGCATAGCTTAAGATCATATTCATTTATTTAATGTATATAGTTCACATAATATTGTTATTACACATTCTAACGCTGATAGGTAAATGTCAATCAAAGACACGTAAATATTTCGAAAGAAATTTTTGAAAGAAATCGAAATTTTAGGACAAATCGAAATTTTTTGAATTTTGGCCAAATTTGATTAAAATTTCTCGAAATTTGGCCAAATTTAATCATTTTGGCAAAATCATAAAAAATCACATAAAAATATTATTGGCCAAAAAATTATCAAATGTAAATATATACAATGTTATTACGTATACGCATATAAAATGTAGTCACATTAAGTCAATACAAATATAGAAAGGAAAGATGATATATATATAGAAGTGGTTATCACGTAAATCCAAATGTAACTATAAATTGTAATTGTTTTAGAAGCATCTTTCATTGGTGAAATTCTTCCGATACAAACTATGTACAATGGATGCAAAAAATAGTAACAACAAATTTTAAGGCTAAACTTTTTCAGATTTGGTTAACGCTGTAAAAATAGTAATATTCGTTTAAGCCAAATTATCGAAAATGGGCTAGCCGTTCATGAACTATTATCGTTATAAGGTGAACGATCGTTCACATTGATGCGCCGATACTTTAAGAATGGCTAATCCGTTTTCGATAATTTTGTACTTAACGAATGCTAACATTCACAAAGACCAAAATCACCGAAAACGGATCAACTGTTCCTGAAATATCGGCATTACAGCATTATACTAATACAACTTTTATTTCCATTGACTTCCGCTATATTTCGAGAACGACTAATCTGTTTTCGATTATCTTGGATTCTACAGTTTGTAACATTCGTTTAAGCACAAAATCATCGAAATAGGATCTCATTCTCGAGTTATAGAAGGTACTGTACTATGTGAATAATTATTTCCGGATCTTGTTTTTGTGACCACTGTACAAATTAAAATATTTTTCGTTAGTGTAAGTTCTTTTCGGAAGCTAATATATGAGTGCTACCAGACTTCGAGCTTTCAAATTTATCATTTATTATTTACCACATTCAGCTCATAGGAAGACTTTCGTATGATTGGCAGTTTAAATCAATTTAATTTTACATTATTTATACAGTTTAAAGTACT